AGATAGTTGATAGCACTCCAGGAATCCTTTTTCTCAAGACAATGAAACATAAACGTAAACTAACTCATAAACCCAAAATCCTACCCACCAACAACCCAGCTAGTGACAACATTACACAATGCAAAAGTGAAAAGACAGTTACTGGGCACTGGTTACCGGACTGGGAAGAAAGGTCACATACAGGACAAAATCCCATTAGTCCACCATAAAACAGAATATGCTGCATCCTAGTTGACATGGAGGTATACTAATGTAGATAATGCAAAAAAAAGTGACAAATGCATAAAAAGTGAAAGAAAATGAATAAATGGGGAAGGGGTGAGAGGTGCCAAATGAACCAATATAGTGTAGCATGTCAATTAATTACAAAGTCATTAAAAACATATAGCATTGCATTCACAAAGGTGAAGTGTTTGCAGGCATGTCATTATGGCAGAAATTCATAACCGCAGGCAGATGGATGGCTTGGGCCACTGGGAGCTTGATGGAAAGGCAGCCACTGGAGGTGCAGAGAAGATGGGCACCTTGGAGACTGGGATACAAAGCCAAGAGCATAGCAAGGAGTACAAGAGCTTCAATCGCTGTGTGAACTAGCGAACCGGTAGATTGGCAGATTGCAGGAACCGAAGCTTCACTGGGAAGGACTGCCATGCAGGAAGGGATGGACAGCCTGGTCTCAGTATCAAAGGAGTGAATGTGCGGGACTCTCTGGAACACATTTTTGGAAGAACAAACTTCCTTCATCAGGCTGCTCACAGCGACTGAAGCTTTTGTACTCCCTGCAACGCTCTTATACATTTTTAATGATTTTGTAATAAATCGACATAGTACACTATGTTGGTTCTTGGGGCACCTCTCTCTCTTTCTCCATTTATTTATTTCAGATATCGGTCATCCCATGCCAGATTGGATCCGGCAGCCTGGTCCCATTAGTGTCAGTACATATGTCTAGATCGGGTGTCGGCAACCCGCGGCACCAGAGCCGCATGCGGCTCTTTTTCACCTTTGCTGCGGCTCCGGAGCACACTGCCCACCAGGTGACAGGCAATAGGGTTGCCGTAGCTACTCAACGTGGTTCAGCTCCGCCTCGCCACGAGTACAGTGCCTGGTGACGTCAGGCCGTCTGTGTGCGAGGGGGAGGAGTGACAGAGCCGAAACCAGCGTGAGCTAGCGTTGCATGAGCGTGAAGAAGAACACAGCACTGCGCGGCAGTGAAGAACAAAAAAAGGTAAGTTAATTTAACGTTTTCTATGAAAAGTAGTTCTGAGGGGGGTTAAAAAAATATTAATAGAAAAGTGACAATAATATAATAATATATTTATAATTTGGATTACATTGGGCCCTCATATTTACCTAAGGCTATGATTGTGATTATGACGATACACTGTGGCCCTGATTAACCCTTTGCTTACTGGGCCCTTAAACCCCCTTCATGACCAGAGCGCTTTTTGCAATATATGCAGTGTCGGATTTGTTTTAAATGTTGCAATGGTTTTGCGGCTCCCAGTCTTTTTTTCCCTTCGGAAACGGGTCCAAGTGGCTCTTTATGTCTTAAAGGTTGCAGACCCCTGGTCTAGATATACAGCCTTACCTCCAGGATTGTGTTTATTTTTACAGTTCACAGTATGAGGGATCTGTTACATTGTAGTATGTTTGTTTACTCTTAAATTGTTACAAAGTTCAGTAATGAGTAGACTATACTGTTACTCAAACAGTGATTCATTCCACTGAATCTGCGTGCCATGGGCAATTTTCCTTTTTTTGTTCTCTGTAAAAAAAAAACATACCTGCAGTATTCACAAAATGAGTAATATGCTAGGGCAACTAAACAACACAAGGCCAACCCCCTTACATGAATAAACAAGCATGAGAGCATGAATAACACCCCTTAAAGGATAAGGACCAAAATGATGACAGTGCACTTGGTTTCCACACCCAATCTTTTTGGTCTTGTATGATATGCTGTTTCTTCAGTGGTGTTAGTCTCCATGTTCTCACTGCTATTCCTCAACTGCAGGTGTTAATACAAGTCCTCTGGTTTGTTTTATTTGGCTGTGGAGTAAAAAACGCATGTTATGCACACTTGTGTGTATTCCTTTTTTTCTGAATGGTCAGTGTTTGTATCCCTATCTTTTCTAGGTTGTTATTCATGCTCTCACACTTGTTTCTTTATGGCACACTTGGGGTGTTTTTTTTTGGCTATGTTGTAATCTCTAATGTGCCACTTTCTGCCAATATGTTGTACTAAAATATTAATTGTTAGTTTTGTATACTATGTTGCAAACTAATGATGGTCCTTACTGTCAAGTGTTTTACCATGTGCTCTAGTGGCATGCTACAGATGGTTTTTTTTCCTGCCTCTTCCTGGATTAACTCCATTTGCTCTTTTTAATGCATTAACTACTTTTGTATAGCTAGTCAACTAGGATGCAACATTTTGTTTTTTGATGGACTTCTGGGATTTGTTCCTTATGTGATCTTTATTTGACTTTTGGATTTCTGTGGATATCTTTTTGTGGTGAGCACCCAGCCACTTAACACAAATAGAGTACTGTATGTCTAATGGCTAAAAATCTTCACAACCAAAGAAAAAAAAAAGAAAACATTTGAAAGTATGAAAACCAACCTTAACAATGTACAGTTTTCAATGTATTAATACAGTTTCAGGGGGCCCTCAGTATAGCGGAATAACATTTCATAATTATGTAGCACTCTCTAGTGTGCCACTAGAATAGTGTAGGCAACTGTATTGTGTATGACCCATGGTAACTGTGAGTTTGTGATTAAGGTCAGGTTACTGCAGGTCAAGCTAGATGGCTTAACAGGTTGGGACTCTATTGCCTCCACCTGGCTCTGAAGGACCATAGAACCTTCTAGAAGCCAATGGGCAGAAGAGGTGGAGACTTAATCTGCATGTTTAATTCAACTTAACCAATCCCAGGTTTGGGGTCCTGGTAGAGTGGAGGACCAGCTCATAAATATAGGATAGTAAGGCCGGATAGGAGAGTCAGGTGGAAAATGGATTGCTGAGGAGACTGTTGGTGGCCTAGGTCTAGGGGGCCGTCCTCCAGGCTGGGCTCAGGCTGGCTTAGGAGAATCCATTCAGCAGTACAGCATGAACAGGATCAAGGCTGAAACTACTATGTGTAGCAAGCTTTTAAAGGACAGTGCTGTACTTAATCCTGTATCCTTGTCCTGGGAGATCTTCAGAGCAGCCAGGAGGGCTGGTAATGTCTGCAGGCTGTGGAGCTGGCAGTGGTTCTATTGGGGAGAGGAGACATTTCTGCATGTGATTTACAAGGAACTAAGCTGATTTTTTGAGGGGCTGCGAGTTCCTCGCCCGTAAGGGGCTGTTGCTACTGATCCACAAAGACTGATGCCTTTCAAACAAAAGAACAGCCCAGGATCTGTTTCTGTAAATAGGAAGGAAGTTGTTCCCATGCATTTATTCAATTAACCGCTTGCCGCCCTGCCACTGTGTATATACGTGTGCAGGGCGGCAGTGGAGCGCAAAACCACGTTTAAAAACGGGTTCCGCGCTCCCGACACTTTCCCGGCAGGGGGCGCGCGCGCGCGCGCTCCCGCCGACCCGCGGGTGACACTATTTGATCCAGGAGGGATCAATCATTAGATTTCAGCCAGTGATTTCTGGCTGAAATCACATGATCGGTCCCTGTCCTATCCTGTCCTGTGTTGACATACACAGGGCAGGATATGATGTCATTCTTCTCTGCCTGGACACATTCCGTTCCAGACAGAGAAGAAGACATCCAAAAAGTGAGTACACAAGCACTACACTACAGTTAGAACACTCTAGGACACATTTAACCCCCTGATCGCCCCCCCCCCTCCAGTTAACCCTTCACTGCCCTGTCACCAGTGTTACTGATCAGTGAAGCGATTTTTACTGATCAGTGTCGCTGGCGACTTCCGATAGAGTTAGCGCCCCTCCCAGATAGCGCCAGATTGCCCGCCAGTACACCAGTAATCCCGTTTAACCCCCTGATCGCCCCCCCCCTCCAGTTAACCCCTTCACTGCCCTGTCACCCAGTGTCACTGATCAGTGAACCAATTTTTACTGATCACTGTATCAGTGTCGCTGGCGACTTCCGATAGAGTTAGCGCCCCTCCCAGATAGCGCCAGTTTGCCCGCCAGTACACCAGTAATCCCGTTTAACCCCTTGATCGCCCCCCCCCCCTCCAGTTAACCCCTTCACTGCCCTTGTCACCCAGTGTCACTGATCAGTGAACCAATTTTTACAGATCACTGTATCAGTGTCGCTGGCGACTTCCGATAGAGTTAGCGCCCCTCCCAGATAGCACCAGATTGCCCGCCAGTACACCAGTAATCCCGTTTAACCCCTTGATCGCCCCCCCCCTCCAGTTAAACCCTTCACTGCCCTGTCACCAGTGTCACTGATCAGTGAACCAATTTTTACTGATCACTGTATCAGTGTCGCTGGCGACTTCCGATAGAGTTAGCGCCCCCTCCCAGATAGCGCCAGATTGCCCGCCAGTACACCAGTAATCCCGTTTAACCCCTTGATTGCCCCCCCCACAGTTAAACCCTTCACTGCCCTGTCACCCAGTGTCACTGATCAGTGAACCAATTTTTTACTGATCACTGTATCAGTGTCGCTGGCGACTTCCGATAGAGTTAGCGCCCCTTCCAGATAGCGCCAGTTTGCCCGCCAGCACACCAGTAATCCCGTTTAACCCCTTGATCGCCCCCCCCCCAGTTAACCCCTGCACTGCCCTGTCACCAGTGTCACTGATCAGTGAACCAATTTTTACTGATCACTGTATCAGTGTCGCTGGCGACTTCCGATAGTGTTAGCGCCCCTCCTAGATAGCGCCAGTTTGCCCGCTAATGCACGGGATTTTTTTTTTACCAAAAAACATGTAGCAGAATACATTTTGGCTTAAATTTATGACTAACTTTGAGTTTACTATATATTTTTTATAGCTGAAAGTAGAAAATATTGTTTTTTTTCAAAATTTTTGTGTTTTTTTTTGTTTATAGAGCAAAAAATAAAAAGCGCACAGGTGATCAAATACTACCAAAAGAAAGCTCTATTTGTGTCAAAAAAAGGACGTAATTTTCGTTTGGGTGCAGCATTGCATGACCGCGCAATTATCATTTGAGTTAGTGCAGCGCTGTATAGCAAAAAAAGGCATAAATTACAGTATCTATACCATAGTTTGTAGACGCTATAACTTTCACACAAAGCAATCAATATACACTTATTGGGATTTTTTTTACCAAAAACATGTAGCAGAATACATTTTGGCTTAAATTTATGACTAACTTTGAGTTTACGATATATTTTTTTATAGCTGAAAGTAGAAAATATTTGGTTTTTTTTCAAAATTTTTGTGGTTTTTTTGTTTATAGCGCAAAAAATAAAAAGCGCACAGGTGATCAAATACCACCAAAAGAAAGCTCTATTTGTGTGAAAAAAAGGACGTAATTTTCGTTTGGGTGCAGCATTGCATGACCGCGCAATTATCATTTGAGTTAGTGCAGCGCTGTATAGCAAAAAAAGGCATAAATTACAGTATCTATACCATAGTTTGTAGACGCTATAACTTTCACACAAAGCAATCAATATACACTTATTGGAATTTTTTTTACCAAAAACATGTAGCAGAATACATTTTGGCTTAAATTTATGACTAACTTTGAGTTTACGATATATTTTTTATAGCTGAAAATAGAAAATATTGTTTTTTTTCAAAATTTTCGTGGTTTTTTTTGTTTATAGCGTATATAGTGTGTATTGTAACTGCAAAAAATAAAAAGCGCACAGGTGATCAAATACCACCAAAAGAAAGCTCTATTTGTGTGAAAAAAGGACGTAAATTTTGTTTGGGTATAGCATTGCATGACCGCGCAATTATCATTTGAATTAGTGCAGCGCCAAACAGCAAAAAAAGGCCTGGTCATTAAGGGGGGTAAATCCTCTGGGGCTCAAGTGGCTAAGTTGGGCATCCCATAATCCCTATTACCCTATCCAAGTTTATTTCCCCTAATAAAATAACAAAAACCAAGTTCACTGACTGTTCACTGACTGTGGATGCAAGTGTGAAAAATGCATGTTGCATGGCTGTGCGGGGCTTAGGGGAACCTAGAAACACAGCGGCCATCACAACGGTAGTGTTACATTTAACCTGATGTTGATCATTTCTTCAATGCTGCATTGATATTACCCAGGAAACATACATGTACATCCTATTTCAAAACAACATCAGTTAAACAGGAGAGGAAAGTTTAATGTCCTCTTAGCCCAAATTTAAAGCTAAAAATGCATGTGGTCTAGTATTACAATGAGCAGCTAGTTAAATTTTACATGTTCAGAAAGTGATCCAGTGGACAGTTGACTATCTATTCGAATAATGTATATGCTAACACATATATTCCTTAGGCAGAAAAAAAAAAAACTTACCATTCCTCCTTATTTACTTCTGAGTGGCAAAATCCTGGACATATTTACAGCTTACATCATATCTACTTTCACCATTGGTGTGAGATTCAGTAGACACTGCCTTTTAAAGCCCTTAATGTGTATTTAGATTGTAAGCTCTAACGAGCAGGACCCTCTGTTTCCTCTTGTACCAAATTGTATTGTAACTGTAATGTCTACCTTCATTTTGTAAAGCACTGTACAAACTGTTGGTGCTATATACATCCTGTATAATAATAATAATAATAATAATAATAATAGTTTAAACCTATATGTATTGCAGCTTACCAGTCCATAGATGTGGTGAATGCATTATTTTGTTTAGCTTTTGCCAGGCTTATAAAGGCTGTCTGATCCAAACTGATAAGATCAGTAATAACTGCATTTAATCGATGAGCCGGGACTTTTGCTAAAATCTTTGCATCAACATTATTGAGCGCTATGGGCCGGTAGGACTCACAATGCTTGAGATCCATGTTCGCATTGGCATCAAAACAATCAATGCTTCACATAATGAAACAGGTAAAACCCCGGCCTTATAAGCTGCTGAGTACATAGATAACAATTTAGGGGTCAAGTAATCAGTATAGGTTTTATTCAACTCAATGGGTTACCCATATAGCCCCGGAGTTTTATTAGGGGTAAAAGAGGCAATAGCTGCGTCTATTTCCTCCAACATGATAGGATGATGTAATTTGGCAGCATCAACCTTAGAAAGAACAGAGGGATGAGATTAAGCCAAGTAAGACCTCCTGATCATATGCAACTCTAGATGTGTATAGTTGGGTATAAAAATCAGTAAAGACCTGCGTGATGTCTTCTGGAGATGTTTTGAGGGTATCCGTATTGTCACCATAGATACATGGTATAGACATAGGGGCAGAATTATTTCTGGCCAAGTAAGCAAGAATCCTACTATTTTTATCATCAAATTCAAACAAATGCTATTTTTGATACAGCAGTTTCTTCTGAGTTTTTTTCCATAAGAAGTACGTCAAATTGTTTGGCCAACTCCCGCCAAAGTTGATAATTAGCAGAAGAGAGATTCTTAACATATTCATAGCCATTATAGCTGCATTTTCATAAGTTGCGACCTTCCAAGACCTATCAGACTGAAGCTTTTTTGATCACTCCAGCCACTCGTTTCCATATAGGTTGGATTTAAAAGCACCCCATGCTATGCCCACAGACTTCCCAGTACTATTCTCATTACAGTAATTATAGATATCATTGGCAGCTGCAAAATAAAAAAATTCCTCCTTTAACCAATACAGACTGAGGCATGATGTGAGTAGTGAAGGAGGCCTGGCAGGATTTAATAGCTGCCATAATCTGGGAAAGCGTCGGTTCCAGTGCTTGCTCCTCCGTATCTGTGGGGGTCCCATCCACCTGCCCCAGGAGCACCTTATCCTCATGAGAGTGGATAGAGGGAATCACATACTCCTCGCTTCCCTCTTCCCAGACCACAACAGCAAGCTGGCTCGAAGAGCTACCGGGTTGGAAGCTATGGGCACTATCTTGGTCTTTGTGGGCAAAGCGTGCCAGCTTTTCCCCTAGAGTCACTGAGCAATCCCTTCGCCATCCTCAGGCATTTGCAGTAAGCAGAATAGTAATGGCTTGTCAGGATATTGTTTAGGACTGCTGATCAGGTGTGGAGCGCAGAGAGACAGAGCTGCTTACATGCTGGAAGTAGGGCAACCCCCCCCCCCCCGGTATTAACAATATTTGATGAGTTTTTGGATATATTAGCTATTTCTTTGTCAACCTGAAGGCTGTCCACAATGTTTTTGATGGTAAAAATGGTAGCATATTTTTGTTAGTGTTAAAATGCACATATATTAAGAATGTGTGTTATCAGTAAGCTTACTGTTATTTTATGAATTCATCCTCAGTGTTGAAGCTAAAGTCCCATAAAATGTCTTTTGATAATTTTCTATTGTGCTTTTTTCCTAGATGTCAGCACCAAAATGACAAAACAAAGAAATTGTTTGAATCCCCACTCCTTTATTCTGAAAGTTACTATTTCTACATATTAAAGAACTTTACTAAAATAATCCTAATAAGTATAGTAAAATAGAACAGTGTTTTTTTTAATGTTTAATAAACAAGACTGTTTTTGGTACTGTCATGTACGCTTTCTTGAAAATTTAAAAAAATAATAATAGAGTCCCTTCCAAAGGCTATCACGGGGAAAGGGAGCTGCTATACTGAGCATCAGAAGAGTGCTCAAAGAGTATGCCCACCTAGAGCTGACTCACCCAAAGCTGTTTTAATTAAATAAAAAACAAAATTGTCATTGGCCCCAGTCCCATCAGGATTATGATTTCATTGTTAATTATATACTGTAAACAGTCAATGTGCCAGTCTCTTTGAGGCCGAGGAAATTTTTTTTAAAAGAGCATAGTATTTACTTTGATGCAGATCACTCAAATATAAATTCAAAAGAAAAATATAAGTTAATGCTTCCAACTTTAAATTCCAGGCTTAAATTACATTGTCAAACATTCATGAGATTCTAAATTGGCAAATGTTGCATTTTAATCTACACATTACCACCCAAAGGTTGGGACAGAATGTATATGTTTCTAGAGAGGGAGGAGTGCTTTATCAGGACAAGGAATATAGATCTGGATGGAGAGGAGTTATGACAACATTAGAAGTAATTGCAAACTTGCTTGAGATGCAGAATCACATAACCTTCACAAAGAATGCACAAAAGGAGCTATGGACATTATCTGAAAGGTAGCCCCTAGATCATGACCACAAAGATAACCCAGCTGGTGGCAACAAAAACCAGACCCACGTAAGTAAAAGCAGATGAATGCTCTGGATGCCACATTCCAAACAACCCATAGCTTGGTTATAAAGTTTTTGGAATAGGAAAAAAAAAAAGTTATCTGGAAAAACCACAAGAACAAAGGAAAGGGTGTAAGTGGGAAAGTCCTTATAGTGTGATAGTTCTTTAAAGTACAAGGCATTAAATTGGCTAATGTAGAAGCAAAATGATAGTAAAATTCACAACTTTTAAGGTTGCAACACTAATAAATGCTCAACCTTGTAACACATTTGTAGAAAATATATCCAGAGATATCTATGCATAGAGATATGCTATGCTATTTTTGATCTTCCTCCTCTTCAAGACCCATGAGTGCCTCTAAACCAGTTTTGAATTTATATGCAGAGATAGGTTTTTTTGTTTTTTTTATTACATCTGTATTAATTTTTTTTTAAAGTACAAAACCACTTTATCTCAAAATATTACATAACAAAAATTTCACAAAGAATTTAACCCTTTCCACCCTCTATCCCCCCATTCCCACCCCAACCCACTCCCCACCTTTCAAATCCTCCTCATTTTCAAACTATTTTCCTCCACTTCTTGTTTCTCCGATATTTATTTATCCATCTATCTTCACCATACCTCTCTCCAAACTTCTCATTCTATTACTCCTCAAAACCTTCCATCATATCTTTTATCTCTTCCTAATTCTTTATACTCATATCAATTCAAGGTATCTTTTTTGATATTTTAAATTCATACCATCTTTCCCATGATTTTTAAAATTTCTCCATTTTATCTTCTTCAATATGGTATAATTCCCCCATCCTGTATATGTACTTCACTCTTTTTATCCAATCATTTATTTTTGGAGTCTCCTGCACCTGCCAAAATTTGGCATCATCATCTAGTGTAATAAATAACTCCTTTTTATTCTTTAGTTCTTGAAAAGAACATAGTTCCCATTTATCTATAATATCTTTCAAAGGTGCATTTCTATCTTTTATCCATTTTCCCGCAATATTATCTTTCCCTGGTGGGAAGAACTCTGAACCCACCAATGGAATTAAAAGTGAGTTATATTCCCACCCCCTTTGTTTGTGAAATAAATCAGACACCCTCATTACATTACATGTCAATGTGCTCATATTCTCATCTACTCTATGAAACTGCTGTGGAATTCAAATAATCCTATCTAATTGTGACTTATTTAGTGTACTTTCCATGTTTACCCAACTTTTCCCTTGTATGTTGTATTTCCAGTCTTCTATTAACACAGAATGATAGTACCTCTTAAAATCCGGAACGTTTAAAACCCCCATTTGTTTTGTCCCTACATAAAACCTCATACTTTTCTCTTGTTTTTTTATTTGCCCAAATATACCTAGTTATCATTCTCTTTATAGTCAAAAAGAACGTACTTGGTAGATATATTGGAAGCATATGGAATCTATATAGGATTTTTGGAACTATTACCATTTTTACTATATTTATATGCCCTATCCAAGACAGTGATCCAATTTACATTTTTCTCAATTCCTTCATTATCTCATTTATTAATGGAATATAATTAGCCTGGTATTCATTTTTTAAAGACGGGGTTAGTTTTATTCTCAGGTACTTTCATTCTTTTTCCCTCCATGTAAAAGGGAAATCTTTTTGTAAGATCTGTTTCCTTTATCTTAGGAACATTAATATTTAATATCTCTGACTTTGAGGGGTTAATCTTTAAATTTGATAACTCTCCATAATATTTTAGTATTTGCATCAAATTAGGTAATGTTAGTCTTGGGTTTGCGATATAACACAACATGTTGTCTGCATATGCTGTGACCTTATGTTCTACATCCGCTATCTAAATTCT